GGGGGGGGGGGGGTGTCTTTTCCAACAAACTAAAAATGGCTTGCGCACGAGATTTAAAAGCTTCAAATCGTATTTCGAGTTAATGGGTGAAAAATGTGTTGGATGTTTAATTGCTGTACGAAAGTGTTTCAGTTTAAACCCTTTAACTATTCACGCAAACTTACATTTTTTCCTGAAAAAAAGTCTTTTGCATGCTTAATTAATGCCTTTGCCTAATTTGCATATTGCAGCAATATGCAATACACAAATTAGGTAAAGGCACTAATTAAGCATGCAAAAGGCTGTTTTTTAGAAAAAAAATGAACAGTTAAAGGGCTTGAACTAAAGCAAATTGTCTGAAATTTTGTACAATAATTAAAAACCCAACAAATTTTCCATGCTTTTAAATTTTGTGCGCAAGCCATTTTTAATTTGTTGGAAAAGAAACACCCCCCTGGTTTACAAAATTTGAGTTCGAGTATTTTTTTTTCATGATTCTACGTTATGGGTACTCAAGCAATAATAACAAAAACTTGATACCACGAGCTGTTTTGCAAAATTGAGAGCAATTTCAAATCTCTTTTTGTTTATTTTTGTATACTCCAATTTCATGAAAATGTGAAGGGTGTTTTCAAGAACGAGAATTTGCAGGTTTATACATAACTGTTTGTTTTTTTGTTCACGTTTGCCTGTTTTAACATGGCAGGTGCACATGAAGGTTATATCCCCGTGTTTTGTGCATAATTACATGTATTTGTACCATTCAAGAATTATGTTTGGTATGTTAATTACGGGTTCCGCCCATAATTATAGGCACTGTACATTGGAATTCTTATCAGTTATAGACCTGGAACAAGGGGTGTTCCCCTTGCAATTAACCTGAGGGATGAAACCTTGATTTATATCTTTTCAAAAACCTTGTTGTCTAGTAAATTTCGAATTTCATGATTTGTTCATCTTGGCGAGCTAGCTATTCAAAGTCCCCCACCGTAGCGTGGTATTCAACGTCGAATATCATGCCCGGGGAAAAACACTCTGGGAAAGTTTTCCCTGGGATTGTATTCGCTGAAAAATACCATCATATCTTGGTCGGTGAAAATCGTAATCCTATCTTGGTCCCAGCACATCTAATCCTTAATTTCATAATGACACTTAATGCAAATCACAACTCGGCAAAGGAAAATGGCGGGTGCAAAAATACATTTATATTTATTACGATAATGGTGAGTAAACTGGATGCCATTATTATTTATTAATCAAACATTGCATCAGATTTGTTTGTTGGATTGTTGTGAACATTATATGCGTACGTCATGTATTTGTTTAATTCGATATATCATTCGATAACATCCATCTATTTGGGTGTCATATAAAACAAATAATGAGGATTTTATTCGTGAAATGCTTATCAGTATTTCATTCCGAATTATCCACCTTTTGCCTCATGATAATATTCTTACCATTGCATTCATAAAATTTATTATTTGTATTATTTATGAAACAATATTTTAAACAAATCTTCATAATGCACTTACCCTGAGTACGACAGGTAGTATTAGCTTCAAAATAATATCGTCATTCTTTACTTTATCCATTTGCTCGACAACCCAATGAAAAAACTCCTGTCGATCTAAAAGATTCTCCTAGCAAACATACAACAATTATATTATTGAATAACGTCATAAATGTACTAATTGTATTTTGTACATCCCGAAATTTCTCGACGCTCTTACAATGCCAACTCTTCGACCGTGTTTAAATGACAAAATTCATGCTAGGATCAACATGCACCATTGCATGTATCTTTTTAGAAACTACTTATCCACCGCCTCCTGGCCTCTCTTTTCTTATTATTTTATTGCAATATTGCATTTTATATACAAAAACGCATATGTGTTCTAAAAATAACTTAAATAATTGTTTCTGGTGTCTACAAATACGTAAAATGGTTCGCTTTATATATTCGAGTGTTTGTAGTATAATGTTGTCCATTTTAGCACGCCATATTATAGAATTGTTTTTCGTGCAATATGGAAAACAAGCACTACACAAATTGGATTAATTAAACACAAATTCACTCTTGTTTACTTTACATGAAGGGCCAGTCTATCGAAAGCTGGTTTAATAGTACAATCCTAGGTTCAACAAAAGCGTCAAATCAATCTTCGGAACAGCTACAGTAACATAAACTTGAATTTTTCCCAGAAATCTGGATCAATCCAATATTTATTTTCTAAATTTCTGAAAGACGTGCAGAATATCGCAAACCAAATTGGGGATTTAACCCAGCCGGTTAGTGCTAATCGTGCTTTAAAGTGCCTATGACACGAAATTTAACCCCAAAGGTTTATGGTTGCATTGCAAAGATCACTTAAAATGACGTCTTAATAATTTCTTTTATAGAATTTTGGTAACTTGCTCCGTTTTCAAGATATTCAACTTTGTTTCATATTCAAATATCACCGATGTGACATCACATCGCATAATGAGTTTTCAGAAAAGTATAGTTTTCTTGACGAATACGTATCTAAAAAACTTAAAAATTGCCCTTGTGTATGTATTAATTTCATAACTGGTAATTAACCCTCTGTATTTGTTTGTAAAAATATTTTATCATGGTAAAATATTGCGTTTTCAAAATGTCATTATGCGATGTGATGTCACACCGGTGATATTTGAATATGAAACAAAGTTGAATATCTTGAAAAGGGAGCAAGTTACCAAAATTCTATAAAAGAAATTATTAAGTCATTTTAAGTGATCTTTACAATGCAATCATAAACATTTGGGGTGAAATTTCGTGTCATAGGCACATTAAATAACGGCCCCAGAACAAAAAGGATGTTTACCTCATATAGCCAATCAGTAAGCCGTACTGTATAATGCCATTGTTTCTGTGGTAATTCAGTTTCAGTTGTCATTCGTGTAAAGGACTGGTGATAATCGTTCAATTTGTTTAACTGGTCTTTCAGGTACTTTGTGATAGTGCTGGTCCATTCTACATTAATATCACATTAAAATATTAAATTATTACATTCACAGAAAAGTCAATGACCAGAAATTACGGACATAATTTCCGATCAAATCTCTAAAATTGTAAATACTAGCTGGCGAGGACTAGGTCCTATGAGGTAGACGACATCTAAAGGGCCAATTTTATAAGATGCTGGAGGCTTTATTTTCTTTTCCACATAGCCTTGGTTCATCAAGATATGATTTTTCCACTCCCCTGAGTAGAACTGTTGTACATGATCTTTAACACACCACAACGACCTGATTTTTGGTACAGCACCTGTATGTCAGCGCTCCAAACAAAAAACCTGGTTTTCCAGAGTCGCCTTCCCATTCAAATTAAAATATCTCGCTCATTCAACAATATGTTTATCTGGGACTGGACTATAGATGTATATATGCATTCACAGAGAAATTGTGAGAATAACATTTGTTTTCCTCCACGGCTATTTTGCTTACACATCAAGGGCAAACTCAAGATTAATCAGTCAAAATTATTATAGAGTAGGTATGCAAGTTTTCTTCAGCTTGCTGATTGGGCAAGTATGCAGGTCCGTTCAAACTCGATTCTACGTCCAACATTAGCCATTCCGAAGTTGATGAGTGGACTGGGGACGAGTGTTAAAAAGTGCCCAAATTAAGAAATGAACCAAATCACTAAAAAGACCACCTCAAAATTAGTAAGTGTACAAACTTTGAAGACGTTTACATGAATACTTCGAATAATAAATTACTGATTAAAAGACTGTTTTGGGGACGCGCGTCCCCAAAACCAAAAATTACAGTACATTTCATAGTAAATATCGCGATTTTCGAAAACTTATTATTCGAAGGGTATTCATGTAAACGTCTTCAAACTTTGTATACTTACTAATTTTGAGGTGGTCTTTTTAGTGATTTGGTTCATTTCTTAATTTGGGCACTTTTAACACTCGTCCCCAGTCCACTCATCAACTTCGGAATGGCTAATTGTTAGATGATATTGGATGGAAATTATGAAGTTAAACCTGATCCAACATCTTTAATACTGCCAAACATAATGCTTAAACATACCAACAATGTTCCATCCAACAATATATACCTTGGATGATGTTAATCCAACATGTTGGACTGGAGTGAACAGGCTCTAAGGAATAGCTAATCATTTTAAGTTCTCATCCCAAACTTGCGGTATTTAGTAAAATACGGTATACATAAACCATGCAGTATTCGATTTGCTGAATCATCTTTTTTCAACATGTGCAAAATTCAAATGAGTGATTTATTTTTGTTAGATAAATGGGAGAAAGATCAATTTTCACGACTAACTAGTACTTGCCATGACAGCAAGAGGTCGGTATAAGTATAGTCGAAAAACGTTTTTAAGATACATCGCTAAAAATACACTTTGATGTGCATGTGAAAGAAACATGATCAGAAGATGACATGGCCGTTACCTTGAGCTGGATCACTAGCTTGTCGTTTCTTGTTTCTTGACTCTGATATTAAAGCCATTTGGTGTGCGGATGTCATCTAATATAAAAATGAACAAATTCCAGTATACATTGTAACCTCTGCTACGGGAATTTTATAGGAAAACTAGTATACAAAATCGTACGTCAACATCGATTAAACGTACAGAGCGTACAACCTCGTACGGCATTCCCGATTTATTTTTTAAGCCCTGGAAATCCTCATACTAAAAAGCTTGAGACAACGGACACCTCAGTCCAGACAAAGTACACCATTCTAAGTACAAACTGAGTATCAAAACTACATGCGCATGAGCAGTGAAAATAAAGATGTATTATTGAAGAATTTTGTTTCTCCATATATTTCGCAATTTTTCTATAATTATAAAACTTACATTGTATGTCAATAGAACAGATCACAATGGAAACCTATATACTCTAAGAGATGTTCAGTCTTTAGTATTATAAAGTTTGTGTTTCACATGTATGGATAAGATATGACGTCCCAAATCAACATTGAAATGAAAAAAAAATCAGCCAAATTATTCAACCCAAGCTATCGCAACTGAAAAGGTATATATATATATAATTATAGATACTGTATTCTGAGTTCAAAGGAAATAACTATTACCTTAATAAACCAAGTGGCCCGTATCAGTGGTACATTGTGTTCACAAATACTGTTCAGCAGTTCCTCTTTTTTGTTAAAAACTGGAACCTGTTGATGTCAAACAAATTATTTCATGTAACAGAATAACACTGCCTGTAATTATTAGTTTTCTTCACACAGTACGTTAATGTACGTATATAGTCAGTATAAAATTAGATTATAGTCTGGTTTATTACTGTACAGTATATATTTTTAAAAAATTGTAAAAACAATTTAAGATCTTACAAATTAGTTACACTCTTTGAAAACGACAGAGTCGGAATGACAGAGTTAGAATTCTTTGATTTTTACTTTCACTATACTTTCTTGCGAGTTCCTAAGTTGTTCAACCTCTCATCTTTTGGATCAGGGATGGCTTAGATTAATTTCGATTTTTCAACAGCATGATGCCGAAAATGACAACAAAAACACCTGTGATATTTACATGGGTATATTCAATCCATAAAAATTTGATTTATAATTTAGAGATCCTATTAAAGGCTATAGCAGACAATGATAATCATTGGACATAATTTTATATGCATGGATATCAACCAATTATTCTGTAAAAGAATGACATGTTTTATATCAATTTTATCATGATACTCATACCACACCGGTAACCTATTCTACTGTATCAATACACGATTGAATGGTTAATAACCCACAATTTAGCAGGATTACATACCTTTCTACTCGCAAGGGCAGTCAATGGTTTACTTCCAGCAAGGTCTTGTAACCAGGCAGAAACAGGACCTTTTGTTTTCGATGTGATCTGCATGTGCAAAAGTAAAGATTTGCAACTATACGCAATACTGAAATAGTTTTCTCTAGATCAGATTAATCAGATACAGTATTTTGTTCCAGTCGTAAAAATCTATGCATGCATGAGGTTTATAGCTATGAGTTCTGGATGCTAATAAAAACAAATGTGCATTCTCATTGGTTGCATGCAAGTATTTGAACCTTGCCGTTCACACAATAAAATGTGAAACAGCGTTGTTCCACAATCAACTATTATTGTGAAATTAACAATTAAGTGATGATGATCATGCATGGTTTAAGGCACTTAATATATTGTGGTTTTACTTATACTTACAGGTGAGAATAATTCTTTATTCTGAGCGACTGGTTTCTTTTTATTTGTATCTTGGAAGGTATTACTTTTCTGTTTTTCGGTTAGTATAGCATTAAATGCAGCAGCGAACTAAAGAAAGAATAACGAGTTATATGAAGTCAAAATTTTACGTTTTTCCTAAATTAAGAGGTTTTAGAATGAGAGGTTTTAGATATTCCTAAATTAAGAGGTTTTAGAATGGCTATGCTCAATATAGCTAGCCTTCCGAAACACCTTGACGAAATTCGCCTGCTATTGCATGATAAAAAATTGGATGTCTTGGCACTAAATGAAACTCGCCTTGACTCCTCCATTTCGGACGACCTTATGAGTATCGAGGGTTACGATATACTGCGCTCTGATCGAAAACGAAATGGAGGGGGAGTATGTATGTACGTTAGGTGTCATGTAAACTATGAAAACCGTCCAGATTTAATTCCAAACGATCTAGAAGCCGTTTGTTTGGAAATAAAACAAGCCAATAGTAAGTCTTTCATTTTTTCGAGTGTCTATAGACCTCCAAATACAACTGTTGAGACTTTCTCAAAAATTGAAAGGCTAATTCAATTAGTGGATGATGAAAACAAAGAAGTTTACATGTTAGGTGATCTAAATTGTAATCTACTCGATTCAAATTTGTCGAATGTTAAAATGCTCCAGGAAATAATGCAACTGTACCAATTAACACAAATAATTGATGATCCTACACGTGTTACTAAATCTACAAAATCATTACTTGATGTTTGCATTTCTTCCTCCCGGATAAAATTATTCAATCAGGCGTGGTGCATCTCGGTATAAGTGATCATAGTTTAATCTATGCAACACGTAAACTAAATTCCGTGATTAAAGGAAATTCTCAAAATTCGGTTGAATTTAGAAACTTTAGGAAATTCAATGTTGAAAGCTTTCTTAGTGACTTGTATATGCTTCCATGGGTAGAGCTTGACTGCAAACAAAACGTGGATGAAATGTGGGAATGCTGGAAAACCTTATTTCTTCAAGTGCTTGACAAACACGCACCGAAGAGATTAAAAAGATTAAGGAAAAAGGGTAATGTTCCCTGGTTCAATAAAAGTGTTAAAAATAAGCTGTTTCAGAGAGACCACTTTAAGCGCGTAGCAATAAAAACCAATAATGAAAATGATTGGAAGCTGTACAAGTCATCTCGAAATGCTGCAAATATTGCCTTGCGAAATGCTAAAAGGGAATACTATGCAACAAAATTCCTCAATAACAAAACGAACCCAAAATATGCGTGGAAAACAGTTAATGAGATACTAGGAAGAAGTCAGAAGCAAAATATTGTTAACGAAATTAATCTACCAGAGAAAACAGTTACATCAACTATTGAACTGGTTAATGTTTTTGATGATTATTTTACCGATGTTGGTCCTAAACTTGCTGAAAAAATTGAATACGAACACAACTGTAGCTTTCGAGATTTCATTCCTCAACATGAACCAGTTGAGAGATTTATTTTCCAACCTGTAAATGTTGCAACAGTTTATAGACTTATAACCAAACTAACTATCTCCAAAGCTACAGGTATCGACGAAATTTCAGCTAAAGTATTAAAGGCAGCAGCTGCTGCTATTGCAGAGCCTTTAACAAGGATTTTTAATATGTCTATTGCCACTGACAGATTCCCGATGGAGTGGAAAGCAGCACGAGTAACTCCAATTTTGAAAAAAGGCCAACGGACTATGTTAGACAATTATAGACCAATTTCAATTTTACCTGTGGTCAGCAAAGTGATGGAAAGGATTCTGTACGACCAAATGTATGATTATTTAAAGAAACAGAATATTCTTTCAGAACATCAGTTTGGTTTTAGACAATTTCATTCCACAACTACCACACTTTTAGTTTGTACTAATGAATGGTATATTAACATGGACCGTGGCCTATACAACATAGTTGTTCTTCTCGATTTAAAGAAAGCATTCGATACTGTCAACTATGAAATTCTTTTACGTAAGTTCGAACGGTATGGCTTTGGAAATAAAGCCCTAGATTTACTAAGTAATTGCTTAACAAATCGAACACAAAGATGTCAGCTAAATGGAATGCTTTCAGATCAGAGAGGAATAACTTGCGGCATCCCTCAGGGAAGTATACTTGGCCCTCTTCTGTTTATTATCTATATAAATGATTTGCCAAATTGTCTCAAACATACAACACCAAGGATGTTTGCAGACGATACCGGCCTTACAGCTGTGGGCAAACGTTAAATGAAGCAGAAGAGATAGCGAATAAGGATTTGAAAAATATTAAAGTGTGGTTGTCTTCAAACAAACTTAGCTTAAATATTGCGAAAACGGAATATATTTTGATTGGATCACGTTCTAAGATTAATAGCATGGATGTCCAACCCACAGTTAAGATTGACACATGTCCAATCAAAAGAGTAAAAAGCGCAAAAGTGCTAGGAGTTGAAATCGATGAGAACCTAAACTGGGAAAAACATATTGAATATATCGCTAGTAAAGTATCTTCGGGGATTGGTGCGTTAAAAAAACTTAAAGAATTTGTAGACCGAGATACATTAGTGCAGGTGTATAATGCATTGATCCAGCCCCATTTTGATTACTGTTGTGAGGTTTGGGATGAGCTTGGCAAAGGCCTCGGCGAACGACTTCAAAAATTGCAAAATCGAGCGGCTAGAGTAATTATGAATTTTAAAAATGAGCATGGACAGTCTATCTTAGCTCGTACTGCTCTTGGTTGGACATCCCTTGAAGAACGTAGAGCATTAATGAAGGCCAAACTCATGTACAAAACAGTAAATCAATTAGCTCCACAAAGACTGTGTAACATTTTCCAATCTTCCAAAACTGTAAATAGTTATAATTTAAGAGGTTCTTCAACTGGGCTTTTTATTCCAAGGCCCAGGACAGAATTTTTTAAAAAAGTTTCAGTTACAGTGGGGCTAAATTATGGAATAGAATACCAGAAAATATTCGAAATTCGATATCTCACAATTCGTTTTCTAAAAACCTTTTCTCCTCGCCCTCGGCCTTATTAATTTAAGTAGTTTATTTAAATGAATATTTAATAGATTTATATAATAATAGTTTGTATGTATTAATCAATTAGTTTTTAAATTTTAAAACAATTAGCCAGCACACCTCTCATGGAAATCAGCTTAGTGTTGAATGGGACTAGTGTGTTTAAATAAAGTTTATCTATCTATCTAAGGTTCCTCACTCGGAAGACAAGGTTCCTCAGTGTAAAGCCAGGTTCCTCAAACTGAGGACAAGGTTCCTGAATCTGACGACAATGTTCATCACTCTGAAGGCAGGTACCACACTCGAAGGACAAGGTTCCTCACTCTGAGGACAAGGTTCCTCACTCTGAGGACAAGGTTCCTCAATCTGAGGACAAAGTTCCTCACTCTGAGGACAAGGTTCCTCACTCTGAGGACAACGTTCCTTACTCTGAAGACAAGGGTCCTCACAATGAGGACAAGGTTCCTCACTCTGAAGACAAGGTTCTTCACACTGAGGACAAGGTTCCTCACACTGAGGACAAGGTTCCTAACTCTGAGAACAACGTTCGTCTGTCTGAGGACAAGGTTCCTCACTCTGAGGACAAGGTGCTTCACACTGAGGACAAGGTTCCTCACTCTTAGAACAAGGTTCCTCACTCTGAGGACAACGTTCCTCGCTCTGAGCAGATGGTTCCTCACTCCGAGGACAAGGTTTCTCACACTGGGGACAAGGTTACTCAATCTGAGGACAAAGTTCCACACTCTGAAGACAAGATTCCTCACTCTGACGACAAGGTTCCTCACTCTGAGGACAAGGTTCCTCACTATGAGGACAAGGTTCCTCACTCTGAGGACAAGGTTCCTCACTCTGAGGGCAAGGTTCTTCACACTGAGGACAAGTTTCCTCACTCTGTGGGCATGGTTCCTCACTAGAACGACAAGGGTTGTCACACTGAGGACAAGGTTCCTCACTCTTGGGACAAGGTTCCTCAAACTGAGGAAAAGGTTCCTCACTCTGAGGACAAGGTTCATCACTCTGAGGACAAGGTTCCTCACTCTGAGAACAAGGTTTCCCACTCTGAGGACAAGGTTCCTCGCTCTGGGAAGAAGGTGTTTCACACTGTGGACAATGTTCCTCACTCTGAGAACAAGGATCCTCACTCAGAGGACCAGGTTTTTCACACTGAGGACAAGGTTCCTCACACTGAGGACAAGGTTCCTCACTCTGAGACAAAGGTTCCTCACACTTAGGACAAGGTTCCTCACTCTGAGACAAAGTTTCCTCACACTTACGACAAGGTTCCTCACTCTGAAAACAAAGTTCCGCACTCTGAGGACAAGGCTCCTCACTCTGAGGACAAGGTTCCTCACTCTGAGGACAAGGTATCTCCCACTGAGGACAAGGTTCCTCACTCTGAGGACAAGGTTCCTCACTCTGAGGACAAGGTTCCTCACTCTGAAGACAAGGTTCCTCACTCTGAAGACAAGGTTCCTCACTATGGGGACAAGGTTCGTCACACTGACGAGAAGGTTCCTCACTTTGACGACAACGTTCCTCACACTGAGGAGAAGGTTCCTAACTCTGAGGACACGGTTTCTCACTCTGAAGACAACGGTTGTCACACTGAGGACAAGGTTCCTCACTCTTGGGACAAGGTTCCTCAAACTGAGGACAAGGTTCCTCACTCTGAGGACAAGGTTCATCACTCTGGGGACAAGGTTCCTAACGCTGAGGAACAGGTTCCTCACCATGAGGACAAGGTACCGCACCCAGTGGACAAGGTTCCTCACTGTGAGGAGAAGCTTCCTCACTCTGAGGACAAGGTTCCTCGCTCCGAAGGCACGTCCCTCACTCTGAGGACAAGGTTCCTCACTCTGAGGACAAGGTTCCTCACTCTGAGCACAAGGTTCCTCACGCTGTGGACAAGGCTCCTCAGTCTGAGGACAAGCTTCTTCGCACCGAGGACAAGGTTCCTCAGTCTGAGAACAAGGTTCCTCGCACTGAGGACAAGATTCCTCACTCTGAAGACAAGGTTCCTCACTCTGAGGACAAGGTTCTTCACACTGAGGACAAGGTTGCTCACACTGAGGACAAGGTTCCTCACTCTGAGAACAAGGTTCCTCACTCTGAGGACAAGGTTCCTCACTGTGACGACAAGGTTCCTGACTGTGAGGACAAGGCTCTCCACACTGAGGACAAGGTTCCTCACACTGAGTACAAGGTTGCTGGCTCTGAGGAGGTGCTTCACACTGAGGACGAGGTTCTTCACCCTGAAAACAAGGTTCCTCACTCTGAGGACAAGTTTCCTCACACTGAGAGAAGGTTCCTCACTCTGAGGACAAGGTTTCTCACTCTGAAGACAAGGGTCCTCACTCTGAGGAGAAGGTTCCTCACTCTGAGAACAAGGTTCCTCACTCTGAGGACAAGGTTTATCACTGTGAGAACAAGGTTCCTAACTCTGAGGACAAGGTTCCTCACGCAGAGGACAAGGTTCCTAACTCTGAGGACAAGGTTTCTCTCACTGAGGACAAGGTTGCTCACTCTGAAGGCAGCTTCCCTCTCTAAGGACAAGGTTCCTCACCCTGAGGAGAAGGTTCTTCACACTGAGGACAAGGTTCCTCACACTGAGGACAAGGTTCCTCACTTTGAAAACAAGGTTCCTCACACTGAGGGCAAGGTTCCTCACTCTGAGAACAAGTTTCCTCAGTCTGAGGACAAGGTTCCTCACTATGAGGACAAGGGTCCTCACACTGAGGACAAGGTTCCTCACTCTGAGGACAAGGTCCTTCACACTGAGGGGAAGGTTACTCACACTGAGGACAAGGTTCCTCACTCTGAGAACAAGGTTCCCCACTCTGAGGACAAGGTTCCTCGCTCTGAGAAGAAGGTGTTTCACACTGAAGACAATGTTCCTCACTCTGAGGACAAGGTTCCTCACGCTGAGGACAAGCTTCCTCACTCTGAGGACAAGGCTCCTCACTCGGAGGACAAGGTTCCTCACTCTGAGGACAAGGTCCTTCACACTGAGGGGAAGGTTACTCACACTGAGGACAAGGTTCCTCACTCTGAGAACAAGGTTCCCCACTCTGAGGACAAGGTTCCTCGCTCTGAGAAGAAGGTGTTTCACACTGAAGACAATGTTCCTCACTCTGAGGACAAGCTTCCTCACTCTGAGGACAAGGCTCCTCACTCGGAGGACAAGGTTCCTCACTTTGAGGACAAGGTTCTTCACACTGAGGGCAAGGTTCCTCACTCTGAAAACAAGGTTCCTCAGTCTGAGAAAAAGGTTCCTCACTCTGAGGACAAGGTGCTTCACACTGAGGACAATGTTCCTCACTCTGAGAACAAAGTTCCTCACTCTGAGGACAAGGTTCCTCAATCGGAGGACTAGGTTCCTCACTCTGAGGACAAGGTTGCTCACACTTAGGACAAGGTTCCTCACTCTGAGGACAAGATTCCTCACTGTGAGCACAAGTTTCTTCAAACTGAGGACAAGGTTCCTCACACTGTGGACGAGGTTCCTCACTATGAGAACAAGGTTCCTCACACTGAGGACAAGGTTCCTCGCTCTGAGGACAAGGTTCCTCACTCTGAGGGCAAGGTTCCTCAGTCTCAGCGCAAGGTTCCTCACGCTGAGGACAAGGTACCTCACGCTCAGGACGAGGTTCCTCACTCTGAGGACAAGGTTCTTCACACTGAGGACAAGGTTCCTGACACTGAGGACAAGGTTCCTCACTCTGAAAACAAGGTTCCTCACACTGAGGGGAAGGTTCCTCACTCTGTAGACTAGGTTCCTGACTCTGAGGACAAGGTTCATCACACTGAGGACAAGGTTCCTCACACTGAGGACAAGGTTCCTCACTCTGAGCACAAGGTTCCTCACAATGAGGAAAAGGTTCCTCGCTCTGAGGAGAAGTTGCTTCACACTGAGGACAAGGTTCTTCACTCTGAAAACAAGGTTCCTCATTCTGAGGACAAGTTTCGTCACACTGAAGCAAGGTTCCTCACTCTGAGGACAAGGTTCCTCACTCTGAGGAGAAGGGTCCTCCCTCTGAGAAGAAGGTTCCTCACTCTGAAGACAAGGTTCCTCACTCTGGGAACAAAACTTCTCACACTGAGGACAAGGTTCCTCACTCTGAGAACAAGGTTCATCACTCTGAGGACAAGGTTCCTCACTCCGAAGGCAGGTCCCTCGCCCTGAGGACAAGGTTCCTAACTCTGAAGACATGGATCCTCACATTGAGGACAAGGTTCCTCACCCAGCGGACAAGGATCCTCAATCTGAGGATAAGCTTCTTCATTCTGAGGACACGGTTCCTCACTCTGAAGGCAAGTTCCTCACTCTGAGGAGAAAGTTGCTCACTCTGAAGGCTGGTTCCTCTCTCTAATGACAAGCTTCCTCACTCAGAGGACAAGGTCCCTAACTCTGAGGACAAAGTTCCTCACGCTGAGGACAAGATTCCTCACTCTGAGCACAAGGTTCTTCACACTGAGGACAAGGTTCCTCTCACTGAGGACAAGCTTCCTCACTCAGAAGACAAGGTTCCTCACTCTGAGGACAAAGTTCCTTACACTGAGGACAAGGTTCCTCAAACTGAGGACAAGCTTCCTCACCCTGAGGACAAGGCTCCTCACTCTGAGGACAATGTTCCTCACACTGAGGCAAGGTTCTTCACTCTGAGAACAAGGTTCCTCACTGTGAGGACAAGGTTCCTCGCTGTGAGAAGATGGTGCTTCACACTGAGGACAAGGTTCCTCACTCTGAGAACAAAGCTCCGCACTCTGAGGACAAGGTTCCTCACTCTGAGGACAAGTTTCTTCACACTGAGGACAAGGTTCCTCACACTGAGGACAAGGTTCCTCCCTCTGAGAACATGGTTTCTCACACTGAGGACAAGGTTCCTCACTCTGTGGACGTGGTTCCTCACTCGGAGGACAAGGTTCCACACTCTGAGAACAAGGTTCCTCACACTGAGGACAAGGTTCCTCACTCTGTGGACGTGGTTCCTCACTCGGAGGACAAGGTTCCACACTCTGAGAACAAGGTTCCTCACACTGAGGACAAGGTTACTCACACTGAGGCAAGGTTCGGCACTCTGAGAACAAGGTTCCTCACTGTGAGGACAAGGTTCCTCGCTATGAGATGAAGGTGCTTCACACTGAGGACAAGGTTCTTCACTCTGCGAACAAAGTTCCGCACTCTGAGGACAAGGTTCCTCACTCTGAGGACAAGTTTCTTCACACTGAGGACAAGGTTCCTCACACTGAGGCAAGGTTCGGCACTCTGAGAACAAGGTTCCTCACTCTGAGGACAAGGTTCCTCACTATGAGAAGAAGGTGCTGCACACTGAGGACAAGGTTGTTCACTCTGCGAACAAAGTTCCGCACTCTGAGGACAAGGTTCCTCACTCTGAGACAAGTTTTTTCACAGTGAGGACAAGGTTCCTCACGCTGAGGACAAGGTTCCTCACTCTGAGAACATGGTTCCTCACAATGAGGAAAAGGTTCCTGACTCTGTGGACATGGTTCTTCACTCGGACGACAAGGTTCCTCACTCTGAGAACAACGTTCCTCACACTGAGGACAAGGTTTCTCACTCGGAGGACGAGGTTCCACACTCTGAGAACAAGGTTTCCCACTCTGAGGACAAGGTTCCTCGCTCTGAGAAGAAGGTGTTTCACACTGAGGACAATGTTCCTCACTCTGAGAACAAGGTTCCTCACTCAGAGGACCAGGTTTTTTTCACTGAGGACAAGGTTCCTCACACTGAGGACAAGGTTCCTCCCTCTGAGACAAAGGTTCCTCACACTGAGGACAAGGTTCCTCACTCTGAACACAAAGTTCCGCACTCTGAGGAGAAGGCTTCCCTCTCTGAGGAAAAGGTTCCTCACTCTGAGGACAAGGTTCCTCACACTGAGGACCAGGTTCCTCACTCTGAGGACAAGGTTCCTCACTATGGGGACAAGGTTCCTCGCACTGACGAGAAGGTTCCTCACTTTGAGGACAACGTTCCTCACACTGAGGAGAAGGTTCCTAACTCCGAGGACAAGGTTTCTCACCCTGAAGACAAGGGTCCTCACACTGAGGACAAGGTTCCTCACTCTTGGGACAAGGTTCCTCACACTGAGGACGAGGTTCCTCACTCTGAGGACAAGGTTCATCACTCTGAGGACAAGGTTACTAACGCTGAGGACAAGGTTCCTCGACATGAGGACAAGGTGCCTAACTCTTAGAACAAGGCTCCTCACACTGAGAACAAGGTTCCTCACCCAGTGGACAAGGTTCCTCACTGTGAGGACAAGCTTCCTCACTCTGAGGACAAGGTTCCTCGCTCGGAAGGCAAGTCCCTCACCCTGAGGAGAAGGTTGCTCACTCTGAAGGCAGGTTCCTCTCTCTAAGGACAAGGTTCCTCACTCTGAGGACAAGCTTCGTCACTCTGAGCACAAGGTTCTTCACGCTGAGGACAAGGCTCCTCACTCTGAGGACAAGGTTCTTCACACTGAGAACAAGTTTCCTCACACTGAGGACAAGGTTCGTCAGTCTGAGAAAAAGGTTCCTCACACTGAGGACAAGGTTCCTCACTCTGAAGACAAGGTTCCACACTCTGAGGACAAGGTTCTTCACACTGAGGACAATGTTGCTCACACTGAGGACAAGGTTTCTCACTCTGAGAAGAAGGTTCCTCACTCTGAGGACAAGGTTCCTCACTCTGAGGACAAGGCTCTTGACACTGAGGACAAGGTTCCTCACACTGAGGACAAGGTTTCCGGCTCTGAGGAGAAGTTGCTTCACTCTGAGAACAAGGTTCCTCACTCTGAGGACAAGGTTCATCACAGTGAGGACAAGTTTCCTAACTCTGAGGACAAGGTTCCTCACCCTGAGGACAAGGTTCCTAACTCTGAGGACAAGGTTCCTCACACTGAGGACATGGTTGCTCACTCTGAAGGCAGGTCCCTCTCTCTAAGGACAAGGTTCCTCACTCTGAGGACAAGGTTCCTCACTCTGAGCGCAAGGTTCCTCACGCTGAGGACAAGGTACCTCACTCTGAGGACAAGGTTCCTCACCCTGAGGACAATGCTCTTCACACTGAGCACAAGGTTCCTCACGCTGAGGAAAAGGTTCCTCGCTCTGAGGAGAAGGTGCTTCAAACTGAGTACAAGGTTCTTCACTCTGAAAACAAGGTTCCTCACTCTGAGGACAAGTTCCTCACACTGAAAGCAAGGTTCCTCAGTCTGAGGATAAGGTTGCTCGCTATGAGGAGAAGGTTCCTTCCCCTGAAGAAGGTTTCTCACTCTGAGGACAAGGTTCCTCAATCTGGGAACAAAACTTCTCACACTGAGGACAAGGTTCCTCACTCTGAGGACAAGGTTCATCACTCTGAGGACAAGGTTCCTCACTCCGAAGGTAGGTCACTCACCCTGAGGACAAGGTTCCTAACTCTGAAGACAAGGATCCTCACATGGAGGACAAGGATCCTCACGCAGCTGACAAGGTTCCTCAATGTGAAGACAAGCTTCTTCATTCTGAGGACAAGGTTCCTCACTCTGAAGGCAAGTTCCTCACTCTGAGGAGAAAGTTGCTCACTCTGAAGGCTGGTTCCTCT